TTAGAGGATTCTTCCATAGTATGTTTGGATGATCATTAGTTGCCAGAGAGGGATTTTGGAATCAGGATAATTGAGGTGGGAAGGGACCACAGGAGTGCTCTGGTCCAAACTGCTGCACTATGCAGGGTCAGCCACAAGCTCAAGCTGGGGTTGGTCAGGGCTTTGGGCAGCCTCAGCATCTCTTGTTTCAGCTTCTTGCCCTCTGCAACACACCATGGGCCTGACTCCATCTCCTCCAGAACCTCTGTGCAGGCACTGGCAGGTCCCTGGTAGGTGCCTGAATCCATCTGCTCCCCAGGCTGAGCAAGTCCCCTTCCCTCACCCTTTCCTTGCAGGGCTCCAGCCCCAGACCAACCGAACCATTGGTGTCCATTTTGTGTGGAGGGGCCTAAAACTGGATGCAGTATTCTCAACATGGTCTAGAAAATAGTAAAATAATAAATAAAAAATAGAAAATTTTAAATGTTCTACTGACATTTTAGTGACCAGAATGAGACACATGGGCTCAGAAGAGGAACAGTCATCAGTTGATCTAAGGGCATGAGAGGAGAAAAGGTTCAAAAATACCCTTTCTGAGAGTAACAAAGTTCAGTCACCACCAGAGTTCAGTATTTCCTGGAGAACTTTCTGTAACTGGCCGCATATAATTATTTGTCTTGTGACTTCAGTCCCCACATATCTCAGTGCAGTGCCTTTCTCTAGTCATTGCATTCATCCATACGCAATTCTCTCTCATGGAAGTACACTGAAGACACACAGTTTGAGAGGATTGATCCCATTTCCTCAGTACGCAGAACTTGTGAGTCATTGCCACTACTTGTTTGAGCAGTATTACATGTAAGCATCTTAGTTGTATCTAAACACCCACACTGAAGTTTTTATGTAAGATTCAAATGTGCCTGATTAGCATAAGAAAACCCAGCACATATTTGTAGAGCAGGTGCAAGCAATGTCTCATCTCTTCCTGAACAAAAGGTTAATACATTCCCACAAGTGACTTAATCCAACCTTATCGTTAAAAATTATATGATTGTAAATGGATACAAAGGAAAGTTAAAAAGCTTCAAGTAATGCACTGTAATTATTAGTTAATATTCAAAAAGGGCAGGACGTTCAAAAAAAAGAGAAAAAATACACCACTAACTACCAACAGCTAATTTGCACACATTGCATTAATTTTAAGAATAAATTATGCTGTAAAATTTAAGTACATGCAGCACATGCAATGTAGGAGTGTGATGTAACAAGATCTGCAGCTCATGTTTTGACTTGTAGATTTAAAACCTAAGTGAATTGAAAGTAAATGTAAACCTGGAGGTTTTAAGTTTTATGATGCGCAACCCCATTGAGAAGGGAAAGTAGGAACTTGGTAGAATATGAATGATAGTAGTAGTCCCAAATTAATTTTATGATTTTTGTTACCTCAGTTAAAAATTGTTCAAGCATATATGCAATGAAGCGTATTCAATTACTGTATACAGAAAAAGAGAGGAAATATGATAAACATTTCCTGATAAGAGGTCACAATGAGGTGACAGGATGTGAATTGGGCCTGGGTAATAAAATTTGTGTGTGAATGTGTACAGCAGGGAGTAAAAATTACCTGGGGAATTTAGTCCTATTGAAGAGTAAGATCTGTTGTGGATGACTCCTATCTAGAGATTTTCTAACCCTGGAGGAGAAAAAGGCACATAAAGCCTGATTAGATCAGCTCCAGGTTCTTCTAACCCAGGAAGCACTGCAGGGATGGCATTAGGGGACAGCCCTCTCAATGACAAAGGTGAGCAAGGACAGGCCAGCTCTCCAGCCTCTCCTCTGCCCGGGGCTGGCCCCAGAGGTCAGGTCATAAGGAGAGGGGGCTGGACACTGGGACAGGCCTGCAAGGAAGCTCCCAAGGACTGCCAGTTATTAATGACCATTAATGCTCTTTTTAACAGGCTTATGAGGCACAGGGAGGTGCAGCAATAGTTGTCTGAATTGCTGAGCTGCTATTTATTGTATATTTACTAAGAGGAGGTTTTCTTCTGGTAACCTGAGTTTTGTTAATCTTTGTTAAATGTGTTGGTTGAGCATTTATATGCTTTTTCTGTTTGTTTGGAAGACAGAAATTGCACTTTTTTCAATGGGATTTTTTTGTTCAACTGAATGTTGAGACTTTCTTTGTTTTGCCCTTTTTCTTTTTTTTTTTTTTAATTTTCCTTAGAAACAAAATCTGCACATTTTAAAATTCTTTCCAAATGAAATTTTCAGTTAGGTAAACTTAGTTTCAGGAAGTGTTGGGTAAAGATAGAAATTCTAATGTGAGATAATTCAGAGTTTTGCTAGCCCTTCTTTTTTGCTGCAATTGTTCCATAAGAGTTTTGTACATTTGTGAATGTGGGAAAAAATGTTTGTGGCTCTGCAGAGAACATCTCAGGTGTGCAGACTGGCAGAGTTTTTCAGAAGCAAAAAAAAGCTATGAAAAGGCACTCTGGCCAGGCTTTGAGACCAGATATAAAATCATGCTCAAGCTTATGCAGTTTTTCTATGTGCACAAATATATAAAAATCTGCCTAAATGTAAAAGATTTAATTTAGCTGTGCTTTTATTCATAAGGTTTTCTTAACATGACAGGAGCTAGTTATGCTGATTTCTTTAGTCTTTAAACCATCTAGGCATTAACATCTAAGTATGCTTACAGTCCACAAAGAATCTGTTGGGAAGGGAAGTGGGTCATTCTTACTTGATTTCTAAAGTGAACCAGTGATTACAGGGCAAGAAGGCCATGTGTGCAAGGTGCTCACTAGAGATTTTAAAACCTAAAGGGAAGGCACTAGTTCTGGATTGTAATTTATAAAGATGTGCAGAATGTTGGTTAACTTTGAACAACAATACAAAGGAAGTCAATTTTATTATCTCTTGAGAAGCATAATTTCTACATATGTTGGAATTGCATAACCAAAAAGTATATTTAACTGGCTGTATTCTGTGATAGTTGCTTGATTGGATATTGGTAAAAAGATATTAAATTACAGAGAATCCAACAATTGAGCTTCAAAGGTAACAAAAAGGAATCCTTTAACTACGTAGGTTACAAACTATTCAAAAGCTTTTCTGTACTGGTTTTCAGCAAGGATCTATAATTGTTTGTAATAGATTTGGGCTTTCATCATCTTGGTCCCTCAGCTTAAGAAACAAAAAACCAAACCCCACAAAAACTAAGCAAACAAAAAGCCTAACCTGTTTGCCTGCTCACATTAAATATCAGTTCTGGGAGTGGTTAAGCTCTGTTAAGAAGTTACCCAGAAAAACTGTAGAATGTCCATCTTTGAAAATTTTAAAAGCTTGACTTGATGAGGTTCTAATCAACCTGATATAACTTCTAAGTTAGTGGTGCCTTGATCAGGAAGTTTTAATTAAATTACACCCAGCCATCCCCTCAGCAGGAATCTCTCCATGAGAAGTTAAATCAGTCAAGTATATCAACTTATTGAATTCTGGAAACAGGATCCATTCAAATGTAGTTTAGAAGAGTTTGTATTCTTAAGCACAGACAGCAGCTCTTTTGGGGCTTTCTTTCAAGTTTTTTTGAAAAATACATTCAGAATTTTTCCAAAAGGAAACATTGAAAACCATTAGCAGCACAGACTGGTAACCCAGAGAGGTGCTCTCTGAGTGCAGAGTGAGTGTCTCTGTCATATATGTAACTTCAGCAGGTGTCTGTTGCCCCCTTCAGACTATTCCCAGTACTAGAGAAAAATAATTAGTTGGAAATTAATAGCATTCTTTTGCACTAATTTTTGGATGGAGATAGGGGGAAAAACTCTTAAGAAGAAAGATGCTATTAAGATAGTTGCTAAATGTTTTCGGATATTAGCAAAGGTTTTTCTTTGTGTTAGAAATGCACAGTAATGAAATTATCTTAATCAATATGACAAATGATACTTAAGTTACATCTTTAGCTCTCAGGTTCAGTAGTCACAACTGAGGAAAAAAGATCTTAGAGCAAAGGCTGCAGACTGGGCTGTGGAAACTTGGAAATCAGTTCAAGCTTCCATGGTGCATTTATACAGTTTTGGTTAAGTGATTCCAGCTCTGTGATTCAGGTCTTCATATGCAAAACAAATTATGCCCTATTTCTCCTTTCACCTTCCTTCCACTTCAGAAAAATCTTTTGTAGCATGATCAATGCCAGGCTGGCAGAAGGTCTTCCTTCCTAAATCCACAGATGGGGGATTGCACAACTGGATTCTAGTTGCCTAAATATACCAGTGTGTACATGCACATACATACCTGTGTCTACATATGTGTGTTCAGTAGCCCCCTAATCTCAGCTGAAGTACTCCCTTTAAAAAGAACAAACCACCACCTCAGTGAAAATGCAGGCTCGGTCAGTATGGCAAGGACAACTGCAGCTAGAAAATACAGTCATATCATGAAGTTAAGACCTGGTGTCTGGGATGTAATGTGGTACTTTGTTTTAGCTTGCCTGAGAAGGCTTTTTAAAATAGACAAAAACAGAAGATCTAAAGGAAGATTATCTTATGCATTGTCTTTTTTCTGTAGGGAGAGGAAACTTTTCAGGAGCATAATTTCTATTTTATATCCACCTTGCCCTAGTATAGCCTGCTGAGATAACAGCACATATAAATACCAGCCTTTTATGGGGTGATATTGCTTTAATATTCCTCACACACAATTTAAGCAAAATGTCTAAGGAAGAACAGTGATATAGATTTGATGGTGCACTTCATTCCATATACCTCATAACATAAAGGTTTCTGGAAAATAAAACTTACATTTTTCAAAAGGGAAAGAAATACTGATAGTAGTTTTTCCAAACTAAAATAGTTATTTTCTACTTTGGTGAAGCTGGATTTTCAAAGCTTCTAAGTGAAGCTCTCACATACATACAATATATTCTATTTTCCTGTCCTATTGTTACTCATTTTGCTGCTAATAGTAAAAAAAAAAAAAAAAGAAAAGCTTGACACCATCCTTGAAGTTAAATCACTCTGATGTGACAGCAGGTTTCTCCTGTTCACACAGATTATACATCCATTGAGATGTAGTGATGCAGATACATCACAGAGGTATGTTGAGTGTTTCCTTTGTCAGCTTGCTGCCTTTTTTGTTTAACCCTATGAGTTTGGGTTTATCATCCCCACTCCTTGGCACTCAATGATGTAGGTATCATTACTGGGATCTTCGTCTTCTGATTTTGTCACAGTAAATTTGGCCTAAAAGAGGATTAGAAATATATCACAAATTAATTTATCACACACATAAGTTTAAATATTCAATATCTGACACCAAATCATTGTATTGCCATGTGTTTATCAGAGCTTTGACAGGTTAAATTAAAAAAACATTTAAATAAAGGTGGTTAAAGCATCTAACCATTCGAAAAGCATTTAACTTTAAAGTATGTTCATTTTCTACAGGAAAACTCCCATGTAAACATTGTAGCAATAATTTTATCCATGCTTATCCTCAATGATCAAGTTCAGCTCACAATACCTGCTGAACTCTACATTGCCTAGTTAGTTACTGGATAACAACTCATAGGTAAAACTTCCTGAATTTTCGGACTCACCTTTGTTAGCTGCTCTGCAAAGTGTATAGCTGTTTGAGTATGAAGTGTAATTGGTCCACTTTTCACTCTAGATACTCCCTTTGCTAGAGCCATAAAAATGATCAGCTGGAAGGGAGGGAAGGGAATTATTAAGTAATTCTTCAGATTCTAGGAACCCACTGATGTGAAAAAAAAAAAAAAGGAAAAAAAAGGAAAAACTTGCAAAATATCTGTAGATGTAAAAATGCGGTCTGCCATGTTTCATAAAAATTCACAACCCTGATTTTTAAGAAGTTTGGAAATTACTATTCTAACACCTATTACCAAAGGGCTACTACTTTTCCACAGCAGATGCCCTTGAATCCTGTTACTACATTTAACTTTACTCTCCCTCATTGTCTTCCCCAAAATTTCCCAAAGTCATGTCAGACTCCAGGTTAGTAGAATACCTGTCCAGAGAGAAAACCTCAGGAAGAGGTTCTTTAATTCTAACACTTCTGATCACATTCACCAGAGAGATATTTAAAGACATTTGATTTGATTTACAAACATCACCATGACAAGTACTCTGTAATGTGTGATACAATTCTGTGCAGTTCCATATACACTGAATCTGGCAGTGGCTTGTTCCCACCAATGGTACTGTGCATGCTTTGAAAAAAGTAGGATGAGTCCAAGACCTAAATAGCTCCTATTACACTACATAACAGTAATGTCTGCCCAAGTGTTTATAGCTAAGAGGTAACATCATCCTATCTAAAACAGCCCAAGATTCTTATAAGACAGTAGAGGGCTTTCATGCTCAAATGAAATTAGGTAAGAAAGACAAATGGGAGCACCTCCTAGATATTCTGTTCTCTAATAACTTCACTTAGTATCATTCTTTATATGTAACCAGGGAGCTATTTTCACACCACTACATGCAGTGTCAAATCAAAGCAAATTCCTGCCTCTTTCTTCCATACTTACTAAGAGTTGCAGGAAGGGAAAAATTGAGGGTGATGGTACAAAGCCAGAAGCATTTGTGATTCCTAAGAACTGTAAGTAATTTGCTAATTCTAGTGATGTTGTGATCACACATCTCTAAGACTTCTAATTAACATCTCATTCTTTCCCTGTTCAGATTTATATTCTTTACAATACATACAGGCATGTTCTTGCTACTTCAGCTTCATGTAAACACACAGGAGCCTTACCTGGTCTTGCAGAGAATCATCCACAGTTCCACCGTGTTTAAGATTCTTAAGCAGCATCTCAGCTGCTTCAATGCCAACTTTGTCAGAATTCTTTCCTAACAGAGAAATACAGGATATTAGGAAGCTGACAATTACTATTTTAACATTTTAAAAATACAGAAGGAAAAAAAAAGAAATTTTTGACTTTTTAAAATCTTATTTTCATGCTCTTGCCTCAAATGTCTGCTTTAAAAACGCTTCCCATCTTATGATGATGTATAGTTCATACTTCCTAAGCAGTAGAATGAAAGTGGCCCCATTTTTCAGAAAAGCATTTGATTTAAATAGTTAAAACCCAAAATCACTTCTATTCATTTTAATCTAGATTCACTGTTGAACAAAAGCTTCACAGGTAAACCACAAAGTCCATGTTCCTAAAGTTCAGAAACGTTTTCAGCTCAGTGATCCTTAACACTCCATTCTGATAAAAGGTAAGGCTGTAGTTTTGTTATTTTTGTGAATTTCCATTTACTGTTTTAAATCTGCTCATTTCTGCTGTCCTTTATTACTAAACAACATCCATTTAAAAATGCATCACTCAAAGCATCAGCTCTTTAAACAGATGATACTTCAGATTCCTATTTGTTATTAGTGTATTCAGTTAAATCTCAAAGAATTCTTACCTCTCTTGCCAAGTGATGACCCAGCTAACAAACAACCTGTTGAAGTCTCTGCAACAATGCTAAGCACAAAAATCAGAATCAAAATTAGGAATAGAATCACTCACACTACACTTTATTTATCAGACATGTAATCAAAATCTAGCTAATCAACCAGCAAGATTACAGGTATCAATAGAAAGTTTGGACTCCTCTTACATTATTCCACTTCCAGTCCCAACAGCTTGATCATCGGGTTCTCGAACAGGCTGAATGTTAATGTAAAGATCTCTGATTTCTTTTCTGATGCATCTCACTGCTGCTGATGACATGTCTTTTGCCAGCTAACAAGATAAGACATAAAGCCAGTTATTAAATTATAGAACAACAAAAGTACTTTTTCTTCATAAGTCTAATAGAGATAGATATAGAAACTTCAATATCATCACAATTTCAAGAACTTTTCTTCATTCTTAGGGAGAAAGATTTCAGTCCTCAGTATATCAAAACACTAGATTCTAAAAAAACCCCCCACAAATCCCCCAAAAACCAACTGTAACCCCCCCCCCCCAATTATTATGTACAGGATATATTCTATAAGAGATAATACTAAAAAATAACAATTTTAAATCAGAGGCAAGTGGGGACAGATGAAGCTTATCCCATTCTTGTGATCTAATCATAGCTAATATTCATAGGTTTGGGGATTTTAAGACCAAAACCAGCAATCCACAGCTCTTCAAAAACTAACTCAATTCCTCCTCTTCCTTCCCCTAATAATTCCTAGCCTCTGTGTGAGAAGGAACCTTAAGGAGGTCCCACCACTCAGAACAGGAAGGGAGTATAAAGAAGCAAATTTCTTTGCATTTTATTTTTGGCTAAACCTACCCTTAACTTGTTCTAATACTCTTAGCAATGGTTAAAAAATTTGATGTTTTCTGACCTCTGCCTATTACAGTGCACCATAGCTTTCCCGTAAGTCTATGAACAAGAGCCATAATTCCAGATTTAAAATAATCCACATAAATAGGAATGATATATAAATCAAATATAAAATACCCCTCAATACATGCTAAATAGTCATATGAAGGATAGTGAGGATAGTGTTCTCATTTCCTGTTTTAGCTATACATTGCTATGCAAGAACTGCATTTTAGAAATGTCCAATATACTGTTTTACAGCCTGAATAAGTGAAACCATTTAATAAGGCTACTACATGAGTTTGTATGGGAAAGACTGCAGAATACTGCAACAGTAGAGGAATGTTAAGCAGATTACATGCAATTTTATATAGATATATAAAGCTGGATACTACCAGAACTATTATCAGAACTTACTTTGATAGGCAGTGCTCCAGCAACAAATGCTCTTCCATATATCTTTGTCACTGTGCCACGTTCTGTTAAGTTTATCGGGCTCAACTCTTTGACTGGAGACATCCGGACCACAACTTCACCACCTCCCTGAGGATAGTAGCCCCTATTTAGAAACAGTAATCAGATATAATCAAACACAAAGATCACAAAGAAACCAAGAAAAGGGCCAGAAGGCTCTTCATATATTTTTATGTTCTCTGTTACTGTACATATGAATTTTCTTGATGTGTGGCTTTGAAACCTTTATAATGGAATTATGTTCTCTTACAGTATTACTTTGTAATGTACATCTTATTAATTACCTCATACCAACCTAACTAGCACCTCAGGAGAAGCTCAGTAGTATGCTGCCTGTTCAGCATGCACTGCCCTCAGGAGCAGCCAACAGGAGACATTACACAGCAGCTGTAGCATCAGCAATGAAAAACAGATGGGGAAGAACCATCTCACATTCATCATAAGGTGACAGTACACACAGGGACAGCTAATGCAGATTAGTTCATGTATTATAAATTCATCCCTCAGTTTGATTGAGAGCACCTTGTGTGTGCCTCTGTGCTCACACACAGGTTCAGAGTGTGCCTCCGCCACGTGACTCCACAACTCACCTCTTTTTTATGTCACAGTTAAATGTGAAGTTGAACTTTTCAATTATTGGCTTAAAAACCTGAAAAACAAACACATATAAAAACGCAAGGGGTATTTATTTTGCATTGATAATTTCCCACTATTTTATGCAGTCTTCAAAAAAAAAAAAGAAAAAGGCAAGACAAAAATTTTAGTTACATTATTGAAAAGAAAAAAATATAGCCAATCTCATGCATACACCTTATTTAACATTCTTCACTCTGAATGCCACTTTGTGTAAAAGGATTTTCTTAAGGAAAAAGGAAGATCAAATCACAGCCCTTTTAGAATAAAGAATATATTTTAAACGAAAATTTCTTTGGTAATTAAAACCAAATAGACTATTTGCTGTTTCAGGAAATTCCATGAAACGCTGGTTGCTCTCTACATACAGTAAACTAATAGTGTTATATTCCCATGCCTAATTCCATAATCACAAATACACTTGCAGTAAGAGCAACAGAAGTACAGCAGTTACATTGCACACGTATTCATGAAAGATGCACCAAGCCAAAGGAGTTTTTCCCTACCATGACTGTGTAGTCTATCTGAGGAGCCATCTCAGCATTAGTCCCACCTTTTAAATGAAGCTCTGATGGGGAAGCAGCAAACAGCACACAGGGCATTGCTACCTGCATCAGTAGACACACGCTCCTAAAAGAAATTATAAGACACTCAGATGTCATACAGTCATAACCCATAGAATTCCATAGGATCATTACATTACAGGCTTTCCAGAGAATTTACATACTTATTTTATCTTTGAAATTATCTATAAAATTGTTAGTATTAAAAAATATTAATTTAAAACTTCATGTCCTTAGCAAGCCTAAATATGAAGGTTTTTATTTCACAATAATTGCATCTTTAATAGTCTTGTTTGAAATAAAAGTAATGTATCTTATATAGTATACTGATGGGACTGTGAAAACTGTGGGTTTAGCTAGCAGATGATAAAAGCAGACAAGGCTTAAGCAGCAATAACATTTTAATACTTATTTAATAACAAAATACTAAGAAAACTATAAAATTGCTTAGAAGCTGGTCAGCATCCCACACAAGAGAATTCAGGAGCATAGAAAATATTAAGGTGTTACATACAAGATTACCCTATCACTGAATCTCTCCACATTTCACAGATATATAAATGCTTCCAAAGTAAGTTTTCCAAAAGTAGAAGTTTGTTTTGGCAAAACAAAACAGTTATCTCACAGGGCTTTCAAACATAATTTTGAATTGTAAAAACAGTAATCACCACAGAACTGAGAAAACATGGGTTTGTTTTCTTAAATAACTCCCAAATGTTTGTGAACCATAGTGTTTATCTTTTTTTTCTTGTGCTTAATTACCAATTCTGCTGCATTGTGGGTTACTCAAACTTTTCTATGTTAAGTTAAAGGCATCAGCTTGGTTTATACTATTGCAGCTCATAAAAATATTTCTCTTAACTTAAAGGGAACTTAACTTATGCCTGCTCTGGCTTATGCTTCCAAACAACTGTTCACACCAGCCTTCCATAGCTAAACCCATTTACTCAGTTTTGCAACAGATTCCAAGAACAAAGGACCCAACACAGAAATACAGAAGAAACACAGACACAAGAACTGTTCATAGAATATGTTCCCAGTTCCAAGACTAGTATCCCATTGTGTACCACTATGTGTGTAAGTAAACTCTCAAAATTTACTTTACTAGGTAATGATTATTTCAGACTTCATGGATTTGAGATACTTATCTAATTTAATGCATTTGATCTGATATGTAACATACTAATGTGAGAAAATAACAGCTGAAGTTTTAAAGACATGAGCAGATGTTTTTTGCTTAACATGAATCAAGTGTTCAAGTTTTATATCAATTGTAATTTTAAAACTATTATACTTGCATGTCTTTTATTCATGCATATACTTCCTATACTACAGGTTTTTGGAAGCATAAATCTGACTCAGGCAGCACATCTTCTGGGTAATTATCCATATACAGATGTTCTTTTTTCCCCCTAGTCTTCTGTTATAATATTAAGGTTACCAGAAGCCATGTACAAAGACATACCCTGCTGTTTTTGTATCTGCTATGTGGGTTCCACCTTTGATCTTCCCAGGAGTGAAGGTTATTTCTGTTGAGCCAATTTCTCCACCATTCAGCTTCCCATCACACAGATCCCGAACAATCTCCAATCCAGACAGATGCTGAGGCCTTGGAGTGACAATACAAAGTTAAAGATACATGCAAATAGACTACATACTCATGTTACATTAAAAGAACTACTATACACCAACTAATAGAAACTACAATTGCAAATTTCTGATCAGTCAAGGACCAGAAATTCGCTCTGGTTGCTACAGCACTTCTGAGTTCACAGGAGCCAAAGGAGCAGCATTCAGGCCATTCTGGAGTAGGCAGGATTCTGGTATCTTTTCCATTAGAATGAGTCCAGACAGACAGATGAGATGCAGGAGCAGTCGCTTGTCCTAATGTGATAAGCGCTTGGACAGAAATGGAATGGATAAGGATGGCAATACTGGCCGAGCTAGAACCGGCTGTAGTGCCACAGGAGAGCTCACACGTTTGCTGTGTATGTGTCTTCTTGTGCTTGCGTTTCCATTTGTTTGGGAAACTTACATAGGAAATACACTAGCTGTTCTTAACACTGTACGCTCCGTCAGCCACCTTTCGCTGAGGCATTATATGACTGTACTTCGTGTTTCATTCCGTGTTTTAGCACCTCTGGAATCATTCCGAGGCGGCAGCCGGGCCGCCCTCACCTACCCCGGCAGCGGGCGACGGGACCGAGCCCGGTTCATCCCCAGCGTTCCCCCGCGGGCACTCCTCGAGAGCCACAGACGGCATTTGCTGCTAACAAGGCTTTCTCAAAGCAATGAAAACACCAGTGTTTCAGTCGAGAGCAGCGGAGGCTCTTTGCGCGGCCCCGGGAGGGCCCCACACGCCGTAAGTGACCGGCCGAGCGCCCCAGGGCCGCCCGGGGCGGGTCTCACCTGAGGCCGGGCTGGTTCCGCCCGGCGCGGATCCGGCGCACCCGCAGCGGCAGCCCCAGCAGGCAGCTCAGCGCCGTGGACACCCGCAGGATCTGCCCGCCCTGCTCGGAGAAACGGCGCTCGTCAGGCGCTGCGGCACCGCCCGGCCGGGACCGCAGCCCGGGGCCAGGTAAGCCCGGGGCCCACCGCTGGCGCTCACCCCCTCCATGATCCCGCCGTCTATGTCCACCCTGTCCCCGTCCATGGCTGTCGGCGAGCGGTGTCTCTCGCAGAGGCCGCGCCGATGGGGTCCCGGCGGGGCCCTGGACAGGGCGAGCCCCCGGCGAAGCAGCCCCGGGGCCGGGAGCGGCAGAGGCACGTCCGGGATGCTGCGGTGCCGGTGCCAGGGCGGGCGGCGGCGCGAGCAGGCGCAGAGCGGAGGCGCCTCCCGCCCGCCCTGCGTTGGCCGAGGGAGGAGCAGCCGCCGGGTCCCGTTGCCCGGGCAGCGGGAGGAGGCAGCTCCCGCCTCCCCGCGGTACCGACCGCGGCCCGGAGTCTTGCGGGAGGCCTTTCCCCTGTCTCGACCAAGGGCCAGAGCGGTGACGACCGCCGCACCTGGCAGGTCAGCGCCGGGGGAGAGCGACCGGACTGCGACCCGCACGGTTACGAGCGAGTTTTCGTCAGAATCAGAGAATCAATTACATTGGAAAAGACCTCTGAGATCATGGCGTTCAACCTGTGACCGACCACCCTGTCAACTGGGCCATGGCACTAGATACCATGCCCAGTCTTTCCTTAAACACCTCCAGGGACGGTGACTCCACCACCTCCCTGGGCAGCGCATTCCAATGTCTAATCACCCTAGAAAGTGAAGAAATTCTTCCTAATGTCCGACCAAAACCTCATCTGGCGCAGTTTAAGGCTATGTCCCCTCGTTCTGTCGCTAGTTGCCTGGGAGAAGAGGCCGAGCCCCACCTGGCTACAACCTCCGTTCAGGTAGAAGCACAGACATGGGGGTGTTGGTCAGGCAGGCACACTCGGGACTTTATTACACGTGCATCGGGAACGCCCGGGCCCTTGGCACTGCCCCTCCCGCTACCCAGGGAAGCCGCACGCCCTGCCCTGCCGCCAGCGGCTTTGCGGTACCGGAGCTGCATCGCGCCCGTTCCCGCGGGCGTGTGCGGGACCCACGCGCCGCCTGCGCTGCCCCGGCCCCGCTGGCCCCGCCCGGCCCGCGGCCCCCGCCCGCCGCCTGGTTGGCTGGGCCGGCGCGGCCGCCGCCGGTTGGCTGGGCCGGGGGTGTGTGAGGGGCTGCGCTGCCCGTGGTAAGATGGCGGCCGTGACCGCGTTGAGGAGCAGCTGCCGAGCCGCGGGGCGCCTGGTAAGGGGAGCGGGGACCCCGCTCCGGTGCTCAGCCGGGAAGGGGAGGGATAGCGCGCAGCATCCCCGCCTCGGCGGCGGCGGTGTCCTGGAGCCCCGGTGCTGTCGTGAAGCCGGCAGCCCGCGAGCACCGCGCGGCTGCAAACACCGCACGCTCGCGGACCTTCCGCCTCCCCCGCGCCTGCGGGCGGGCAGCGCCTCAGCTGCCCTGCCCGGCCGCCTCAGCAGTGCCTGCGGGCGCGCAGTGCCCCGGTTCCCCTGCCTGGCTGCTCAGAAGTGCCCACGGGCAGACAGTGCCCGGCTCCCCCTCCCGCCCGCCCTCAGCCCTGCCCGGCTGCCTCAGCCGCCCCCAGCCCGCCCCGCAGCCCCGGTGCGGGCACAGGTGCCCGTGTCTCCGCAGGGCCCGGCCTGCCCGCCCCGGGCTGTCCCTGGCGTTCAGCGGGTCCCCGCTCCTGAGGGACCCCCAGAGCCGACACCCTCGCCCCGCGCAGCCCTGGAACGTCCTCCCCGTTGCCCGTGTTCCCTGTGAAAGAAGCGTGTGCCTGTCTGTAATAAGCCAGTGACATCCTTCTCTCCTGTTATTTCTAAGTCGTCTGATCCGTTGCTCTGCCTATGCGTTGCGCTGCCATCGCCGCTCCTCCGCCCAGCATCAGCTCGCTGTGCGTTCCGCATCCGCACAGCGACGGGGCGGCGACACGTACAAAAAAGGGAAACGTGTTTCTTTGAATCCCGGGAGCCTTGATGTTTGAAAAGTAGTTGCGATACTTTACCATAAGGAGCGAATCTACTTGGTTGCCTTTCAGGACACTTACAGTCTCATAAACATGTAGCGTCGTGAAGATTAATTCATGCTTTCTCCTGTCTCCTTGTATTATAGTCTTCCTGCTGTTGTGAAGAGTGTTGGTTTCCAATTATGTCACTGCTGTTTTGTGGAATGTCAGAAAAAGAATTAACTTTTCTAAGATAATATAAGTAGATACAAAATTAAGGATCAGTTCTAGTTTCCATTATTATTTTTTCTCTAAATAGTAGTTTGTACTGTATTTTTAAATGATAATGGTGAGGCAGATTCTGATAAGATGAAAATGCTCATCTTATCTATGTGCATGCTGAACTATAGAATTGGCTGGTTTATGGTGTATGTTTCCTGCAAGCACATTTCGAATCTTGCTAGATGCTAATTCTTGTGACCATCTGCTGTGAAACAGTGATAAGTTCCAAGAAATAATTCAGTTATTATATTATTAAAGGGCTTTATTTTAATATTCTCTGTACCTTTGTAAACACTTTGGCTAGCAAAAGGAAGAAGGACAAAGTCACAGTGATTGTGCATGGGGGCTGTAAATCGTGAAGGAAAGAAAGGAGCTTGGGGGCCCTTGTGTAAAGTAGTAGGGAAATGGCAGTTACCTGGACAATGGGACATGTCCCAGTTATTTAGGTGAGGAGTAACCTCGGACTAAAGTATGCTACCAAGGACATTGCTTTACTATATAGGCAACTATATACTTGAGATACAGAATATGTATGGAAATCAAATCCAGTGCGAGTAAATATTCTTTAAAATAACTCAATGTGACAGCAAATCAAGAGAGTTCAATAGGGGAGTATCCTTTAATGAGAAGTCGTTGCCTTTTAGCACAAACTATTCAATTTGACTTTGAAATTTAGTTGTTGCTACATCAGGTAATTGTTTCCCTGCAGGCTGGATAAAATTTTTTTTTTCTGAGGCCAGCAGTAGATCTTTAGGATCAGTGGTAATTTAGAAAATCATAGTTGGCTTCTTTTTAAGGAAACAACCAAACCTGAACCTAAGGGGCAAGGCAGTTCTCCCCTGAATAGCAGCAGCTCCCGTGTCGGCTGGGGTCAAACCACAGTTCTTGGTCAAGCAGACTGATGTGTCCTCAGAACTGGCCAGGGGCTGGAGTGGACCCTCATTTTCTTCTTGCCAGAGTAACTCTGTACATCGAAGACTTGCACAGGAAAGGTGTTATCTTGCTGGCCATTATTGCCTTTGAATTGCAATATAGTGTGATAGTGGTGACATAAACATAACTGATAGTACTGGACTTGTTGGGTTTTTATTGCTAAATTTTCCCAGACATCAAGATATGTGGATGGGTATGCTATGGATATCAGAGCTAATTTTGTCTTTTTTATGCTTTTTTATTTCCTTATTTAGCATTACATGGAAAATACTACTATGGTGATTAAATACTGAAGTTAGTAAGCACAATTTATTTATTGGATTTTAATATGTTTCTTGTTAGGAAGGAACACTGTTCTATCAAGAGATTGTGCAATGTGTTATTACTGTAACATACTAGCACACCAGCTTTTTAGTTAAGAATGTGCAAAACTGCAAACCAAAAAGATTCCATTTTTAAAAAATGCAGGAGTTTTGAATTGTTCCTACAAATATAATGAAACATCGTGGTAACTTTTCTATAACAAAACCAGTCTCTTTTTTTGGCAGTGTCATTACTAAATCACTACCTGCATTGGTTACCAAATGTTAAAAACACATGGAAATCATTGTGAAACTTCACATTTAGAAATAGTTCAGAGATTTGATGTGCTCCTTGTGATCATCTTCACAGGTAAATATTGAATGTTTTTCATTTAGGGTCATATAAAGAGAAAAGAATTTTATTTTAAGTTTGTGACAAAAAGGCCTTGTTGAACACCTTTTCTTGCAACATATTTATGTAAACCTTCAGGGAGAAATACCAGAATCAAAAATAGGAGAAAACAGGCTTGCGAAGATGTACATTATATACCACTTTTGTAATCTAATTAGAATTTTAAATGTGTTCATAAAATATGATTTTCCATAGCTTAAAATCACCATGTAACCTAATTGTCGGATAGGGAAAGTTGTTTGGAGGACTAATGAAAAGGATTTTCTGTTTGCTTGTTATAGGAATTAGAAAAATACTTATTTTAGATCAGTAGATACAGTCTCAATAGCAGGTGGCTGTAAAGTAACTCATATAATATAACTTTGTTATACCCATTGTGATAGACTACGTTGTGTAAATGTTTGTTCCCTAAAGAAAAATGATATTAAATATAGCTTGCAATGCTAAATTAAACAGTACATAAAATGCCTACATTGTCAGTTCAGGATTTTATGGCTTCATGAATATTCTACTTTTTAAAAAGTGTAATGTAATATCAAATAGTTGAACAGTCTGGGGTGTGGGGAGGGCAATCAGGAAGTTTCATATGCTCTGTAATTACTGAAAGGGTTTTTCAAAAAAGAAGTTAAAATGAACTTTCCCATGCAGGTGTGCTGTTTTCTGGCTCCTCTAAGAAGATAATTTCTAAATTTTACAGTTTTGAGCTACTTGAGGTACATTGTAGCACCTGAATTTTTTCATATCTCTAATTAATTAGAGATAGTATCCACAGAGAAATTATTATTTTTATAAATTTTACAGCACTGCGAGACAATATAACACTAGAATTCCATTAAATTTAAATCTTACTAAATAAGATGATGTCTGGACTAACTTGTGTTGAGATTAATAAAATACCTATTTATGTCAATGCAAGTGCTACTGGCTTTGCTTTTGACCACAATCATGACTGATTACATGATGCTTTAAAGCATAAGGTTTTGCCTGAAGAACCTTTCAGAAAATTCTGTAGATCCTTTTAAGTTGATTTCTGGATAAATATAATTGTAACCATGAAAGAAAACCATCTCATGCCGAGTTCTTAAAAAAAGGTCTTTTAAGTTATGTGAAATGATATTTACTTGAAGATGATTGCCTCCTATATATTAACAGAAACGAAAGGGCAACTCTCTGTGCCCTCTGGTGTGAATTTCCTTTCCAGTTAGTACTTCTGATCACCCTTTGATTGGAATAAGAACTGATGAAGAAAAATATACTGGTTTTCCCTGCAGTCTGGGAGCCCCTTCCAGCATTCATTCTGGATAAGAATATTTCAGTTGGCTGATGTAGTTGATACTATGTGTGCTTTGTGTGTGCACGCCATGATTAAGCTAATTCCTTAGAGAAACAATAGCAAGTAT